GCCACATATGATCTAAGGGAGTGTTAGATGGTTTAAATGTGTTCTTAGGGCACTAAGCTGTCAGACCTTTTGGCGTGTAAGATTGATAGCGTGCAGGCTTCCAGGGCTCTTTGTTTGGAATATAAGCAATAAAGTGCTCGAGGCCTACACCTACTTAGCTAAAGACTTCTGAGGACAACATAGAAGACACATTCTTGAACGTAAAAGACTAATGAATGTACACTTTTATTTTATATTAATAATTTTTTTTGTATGTGTTTGTCTGTCTGTGAGACGATTTAGAGTCGCTCAAACAAATTGTGAAGATCAATTCAAGTAAAATGTGTAGTGTGTTATTATTTACATAATACACTGAATGTATACAATTACACGTTTTATTTTCACAAATTATGCACTGAATATCAATTATGTTCATTGCACTATTAGTAGAAGAATGTAACCTGAAAAAAAATTCTGAATTGATATAGTTTCAAAGCTACAGTAATTAAAAAAGGACTGCAATAGATCTTAAACTAAAACAACACTAATGCACATGCATGCGTAATGCGTCAGCGCGCGTGTATATACGCGGGCGCGTCGGGGCTTTCAAACCATTTGTCTGCGCGCAATGTGTGCGCGCGTACTGTCTCGCGCGCTTTTGCTCGTGCATTGGCAAATGAGAGCGCGCATTCTCTAAGAAAGTAGTAAAACCCAGACTCAGGATTAATGGGTTTCCTCGATCGTGGCTATTGGTGTGTTTATGTGTCCAGTTGATGTGTTGGGGGATCTACAGCCGAGGGCCGGTCAAACAATAAAGGGAGAACAGCAGACGGACTCACTGTCACGCTCACTGTTTCAGGTACTGGCTATACTTGCAATCTACGGAGCAGTGGGCAAACTGACCATAAATGCGTAAATAAACTAGCCCGTCCCAGAGAGTGAGGCGTTCCTCTCGGACTTTTTTCGATCAATCACACAGACAGTGGCTTCTTTTGATTAAACCCCAAATTGTCATTGGACAGAGGTAATCATGTGACAAGCAATACGGTCCAATTTCAACCTTGTCTCCATGAAAGCAATAGTTTAATGGCACCGCGGTCCCCATACGGCCGTAATCAGCAAAATAGTTTTTTTTAACCAGGCACGATATTTCACTTTATCTTCCTTGGGTCACAAATTTGTGAGCGGCGAATTTGGAAGACTTGGAGGAGATGAATTACGAATTCGAGCGAGAGACGGGTTTTATCAATAGTCAGCCGTCGCTCGCTGAGTGCCTGACATCTTTTCCCCCTGTCGGTGATGCATTTCAAAGTTCATCAATCAAGAGCTCGACGCTTTCACACTCGACACTGATTCCTCCTCCTTTTGAGCAGACCATTCCAAGCCTGAACCCCGGCAGCCACCCTCGCCACAGCCGGCCCAAGCAGAACCCTAATGGCTCATGCCCGCTGCCTGCCGCATCCTTACCCCCAGAGTACCCTTGGATGAAGGAGAAAAAAGCATCCAAAAAAACCCAGACTACTTCGACTGCAACAACCACCACCGACCCTGGTCCACTATACTTCTCCCCTCAAGGTATTTGGATTAATTTGATTGTTTTATAGTTTATTTTAAACGAAATGCAAATTCTTCTTTTTGCTATTATTATTATTCATTTCGATAGCTGTGTTGCGCAAGGCCATGCTGCTTGAAAGTGCAAGATAGTTTGTTATCCTCATGGGTCATGTGAACTTAATGCGAACAAGTTAATTGCTAGTTTTTGGATGCGGAGGATCTATCCTGAACAACTCCTAAACTCTGTGTTAGCTACTTGTAGCGTAGGGCATGAATTTTAATATTTGACAGTAATGAAGAATGATAGATTGCCATTACTCAACTCGGCAGCTGGCGTGTTCATTAATCTTCACTCGGACCTCTCCGCACTCACACCAGACACATCAGTATATTCTGGCATAGGGGATGAGGACACAAATTATTCAAGTGCCGTGGCTCCATTCCCACAAACAATTTATGCTCCCTGAGAAACGCAATATATTTGACAAGTTTGTGGGTTCAGCTTTAAGCCCCACAGCGGCGTTGTAAAAATCAAGAGTTATAATTAGTGGCGTATCAATAATGTATAACGCTGTGATCCCTTCATAGGCTCGCCCGAAATTTCTGATGGTGGCAATGGGCAAACTCGCCGACTAAGAACGGCGTACACCAACACGCAGCTGCTGGAGTTGGAGAAGGAGTTCCACTTCAACAAGTATCTCTGCCGGCCAAGGCGTGTGGAAATCGCCGCTCTGCTGGAACTCACCGAGCGGCAAGTCAAAGTTTGGTTTCAAAACCGGAGAATGAAACACAAACGGCAAACGCAGTGTAAAGAGAACCATCACGGCGATGGAAAACCACCGAGCCTGGAGGAGGCAGGCGGACGGGGTGATGGGAAATCTTTTTTCGAACAAGTGGCAAACAATGTATCAGGGGCGCTTTTGGAAAGAGAAGGTTATCCATTTCAGCAGAATACTTTAACTTCTCAACAGTCACAGAATGGACACAATAGTGATTCCCAAAGCGCAACTGTCTCGCTTTTAGGTAGCAATGACAAACATCCGAAAAATTTTCCCAACCCGTCACCCACTGTTCCTATCTGCGCCTCAACAATGGCCCCGGATTGTGCATCTGCTCCGGACAATGGCAGTCCCTCGGCCCTGGACGTCTCTTTACAGGACTTCAACGTTTTCTCCAACGATTCCTGCTTACACCTCTCAGATGCCGTGTCCCCAAGTTTGTCAGAATCTGTAGACAGCCCCATTGGTTTATCTACGGAGGCCTTTGATTTCTTCTCCGAGACGCTTACAACAATCGACCTGCAACACTTGAGCTACTAACTCTAACTGAAGTTTCATTATAGGGACGTCAATATCTTTCTCACATTGATGGTCTGTGTGTTTAATTGTGACTTTAAAAATAGGCCTAGACCATTAATCAATGAGGTAAGTTTTTCAATAATCGAGTGATAAGTTTTGTTTACAGAGAAAATATGGCAGGAAAAAAAAGTGATATTTTTCACGTTATATTTTTGTACCGTTCGCCGGCAAAGCGCCATATTTTCATAGAATAAATTTGTACTTGTTATTGAAAATAACAGCGGTGTTATTTATTTCTTCAATATTCAGATTAAGAAATAAGAGGTTACTATTAAACGAGGTATAAGATTCAAAGTATATTACTATTCTATTTTGCTGATTTGTTATGGTAATGTGTATTTACCAGTTTTATGAGGATTAATGATTTTTATTATAATTTTTCGAGAGACAAAATTAGATATTTACAAGGCTGTCAAATGTACGTTTATAATCGCTAATCAAAACTAATATCAGTTATCCCGAAAACTATTTGTGCGCAAAATTAATACGCAGTTAGGTATGTAATTGCGTGTTACATTCTTTTTATTAATCTTTGTTAATTTCTCTGTAGCCTAGTTGGCGTTAAATTTAGATTTTTTTTAACAGTATGAAATGAACCCATGGGACGTTTTAGATGCCATCAAATCTGTAGACTAAAACAGAATCCCTCAAAAAGGAGATTGATGACTTGATGCGTACACAAATAAGTCCCTTACTGTATCTGACGACACATGGAGCCTCCTGGCCAAGAGTTGTAACGTTTTGGAGTTCAGCAATTACATTTTATTGCCTATTAAACCTTCGACAGGGGGTTGGTGTTGAGGCAGCACTCCCCGTAATTCAATCCGCCGCTGAGAATGAGAAGGGAATTCAACAGTCAAACCACATTTTAACATTAATTATTTAGTTTACATAATTTATTATAATTATCAGTTTATCTGCAGTTTATAGATTTAATTTACATTTGATGAATGTAACTGTGTCCCGAATCAGATCAGTGCATCTAATACAAGAGTTATCAAATGAAGTATCGTTTTATCAACAGGCAACGCTGCAAGGAATGATCTGACAGTAAAAACAAACTTAATTCTGCTGGTGTTTTCTTAATATTAATATTTATACTTTTAAATTCCAAATAGTCTGATATCTGAACAAATAGCCTAGCTAATAAACAATCTCATTTGATTACCTCGGCATGCTCTCATAAGATCTGAATTCTATGGGCCTGTGTCCTCTTAGACGAACTCGATTGATACCCGCTCGATGTTACAGTCTTAATACAACTCAATTTTAATCTTTTTTCGACAAGCCAGGATCTCGGCAAACACTTTTCACCCTTTGCACAATAAAAAGCCTATCAACACCGGTTTTATAACCTTTAAGTTTAACAAACACATTTGAATTTAGGTAGGCCTATATTTATTTTACAGTAAGTATTTTGGCACTGATATTTGTCCCACATTAAATGGAACTACAAATAATCACAAAGTAAAATAAATAGTTTCCCCATCATTAGTTCTTATCCGTGGCTGGTTAATCGAGTTTAATGATTATGGTGACTCGAGCCACTTCTGTAACTCCATGAAGTGCACGTTATAGGAAATTCTATTGTAAGGATACCAACACAAAACTGAATTTATAAAAGACGACTTCAGTGATACCTCGAGAAGAGTGTTCTGTGAAACCTAGCCTCGGAGAAATCAAGCTAGGATAATTTCCAAACATCTGACGCCACGTTGCAATCGCTGCATAAGTGTCGAAATGGAAATGAGGCCTAGCGGCCAAGAGCTCACACCGCACAGAGGCATTTGTTAGAGACGCAGAATGATCCGAGTCCTTGTATTAGATCAGGCTAACTTTACACCCACACAATGATTGATACACTATAACCACCACAGACCTACTAATGTAGTTATATTACACTCTAAAAAATGTTGGGTTGAAACAACCCAGCATTTTTTAGAGTGTATAACTTTAATCGTGGTCTGAGGGCTTTTCAGTTATTAACAAAGTAGTTTTTAATGCTCTTATCTTCCATTTGGTTTATTAAATGTTATATTTAGAATTTTCAACCATACACAAAAAGATGTGAACAGAAAAGCCCCTAAATCGCATTTTACAAAACACACCTCAAAATCATTAGGGCTCTAAAGGCGTAGCGCCAAATCAAGCCTGAACAAATAGCTTGACTGACGTCCTTTGACAAACAAACACGTGATCGGCATTCTTTAACCAGGTTAAAGACTGAGTTGAGATTTGGCACAGAGAAGTGATCAACATCCAACTAGCTACCCAAAAGAGATTTTTGCATCATAGGCATGCAGGGAAAGGCTTAGAATTACAATACAAATTCTTTTTACGATTTTATAATTAATCTTCTATTTCAATTTTGAAAAGCCCTGAATAATGTAAATATGTATAACTGTAACCGTCTCATTGAAGCAACTTTTTACATTCTACACATATACATTTTTGGAAGTCAGCCCATTTTTAAAGCTGTGGTTGTAAAATAGAAAGATAAACCAAATTTGCCTTTCCATAGTGAATATTCATCACAATAACTCATATGAGCCACTACTAGGACCTGGGTATCATTGCAGATGCATTTGCTAAAATATGTTATTGCACGGACGCTTCAAGTATAATTATCTGCTTACTTATTAAAGACTGCCATAAAGTTGGACAGTCACATAACTTTCATGATCCAACCCAAATTGAACAATCAACTTTGCCTTAATGCAAACTGACGTGAAACCATTTGGTATGCATAATATGTACATGTAATTCGGGGCTCCTGCAGCAATGTTATTTTCTCAAGTGATTTGCAGCATAAGTTTATGGCTTTGGTTAGGGAGCCTGACATATATTTGGTCATCCCAGCATCTACAAGGATCGATGAACAATCTGTGTAAAGTAAAATTTCTGTCCCGACAGCTATAAAATGCTTAAAAAGGAAAGGCCTACACTGTTAGTCCACTGACTCAGTCTGTAATGTCTATGCAGGCATTTAAAGTCAGTGCAGTCAGCCATCAACTGGTTTCCATGGAAACCTTGCATTTAATCTTGGTGGTCCCTTTTGTCATTCCTATGCAGGTGGGCTTCATGCAGATATTCTGAGGGTAGAGTGAAATTAGAGCACAAACACTAAATATAAACTGCAAGATGCATGAAAATGCAAACCGTATATATGAAATTTAAGTGTGCAGTTATGTAATGCTTAGGAATTCTTCACTCAAAAAAATCTGTTATCATTTACCCACTCACATGTACGGACTCTTTTGTGAAAAACAAAAGAAGATATTTTGAAAAATGTTCAATGTTGTTTAGTGCTCCACAGATTTTCATTGTATGGACAAAAACAGTCTTTCTGTGTTCTTTTGAGGAAAAAAGTCTTTAGGGTGTGGAATGGCATGAGGGTGCATAAAAGATTACAGAATTTTCATTTATGAGTGAAATATCCCTTTAAGGGTTCAAACCTTTTAAGGATCTCAATCAAATAGAATGGCTCAAGTAGAAGGCCAACCACAGCAACACCACAGAATACAAATGAACAAATTAGCTCTATGAAGCATGATATTATCTCATAGATCATGTTTATGGAATTCCTGAGGTATGCAATTACTCATCTTCTAGTTGCACTTACGTGGTCTGCTTCTTAAACATCTCTTTTCATCTAACATAAAGAGTTTTTCCTCCTGCGGCTGCAAGCGAGGCTTCACTATGTAATGTTAAATCAAATGACTGGCACAGGTTCACTCAGAAACACTGTAAAAGCCTCATGAATATATCTACAGTAATTATTAATCAAAGAACCAAATGCCTGCCAAAGACAAACACAGGAACAACGGTTACAAAGGTACCTTTCTGATGTAACTTATGATTGATGCATTCTTTTGTTGACATTAGACATTAAACATTAAAATCAAGGTTCAATCCAAGGGAGCCCAGACTTTTTTCTTCTTCTCCAGAAACTGGCGGTGAAAGTGGTGTCAAAAGACAGTTTAAATGTTTAAATGAAAGCTAATTCTAAGTCTTTTAAAAACAACACCTGAGCAGCCTAATCCCTCAAAGGCCATGGGGCAAAAACACCATCTCATCCATCACAAAGTTGAACTTCACAGATACCCCTGCACCCTACAGGCAGTGTGAATTACAGTGGCAACAGTGTGCCCTGAGATGTTCGGAGGCTGTTCAGGTGGTCTGATTCAGATATGACTTACCAACATGTCATAGTATTTGCTGGTGACCTCACCCATCTCAGGTATGTTTTCAAGTCTAGTATGTCTTCACGTGGCTGCCATAAACATTACATTTCAGTATTGTTTTGGGCCAACGAAGCAATTCTTCTCTACCAGCTCTCTGAAACAAAACCAAAGCAAAGGAAAATGTTACAGGCTCAAGTCACAAGGCTTGCAAGAAAAAAAAAGGAATGATTCAGAATGTGGCAGTCAGTGGTTTCCATATGCACATGCATGACAGTGCTGGCCACCACAGAGTCATGTCGACCAAAAATAATTAAAACATTGTTTTACCCCAGAAAAAACTACAAAGTATAATGCCAAAACTCTGGGATGAAGAGAAGTACGATATGTCTAATTTAATAAAGATGATGATCACTGGTTATGGTGATACTGGTGTAAAATGCATTTAAACACTCACACACATTCCTCCCTTTGTGGGTTGGGGCCAGAAGCTGAGACTTGTGAACTGAGGTGAGTCCAGATCAAACAGGATCGGCTGAGGAGCATGAGATACGGAGCTGCTCCCCTCTCCTTTAAAAGGTCAAAGGGCACATCACCTCTCTTTCCCCCTCCACACCAGATGGATCTGTGGCCAGGTCAAATGAGGTTCAAGCAGTGCTCAAGCCGAGCGAACAAGCAGGCAGGATGTCAGTGTTGAATATCAGCCAATACTTTCATAAAGTAAAATCAGCCTTTTATTGTTTCACTTAAGTCATTCCTATGAATAGCTGTATTTGCTTAGGTGCATAAATATATCACAGCAAGGCTTGTTCACAAAATATGGATCTAATAATAATGTGCAAAATAACTTGCTGTATTCCTTTAACAAATATTTTGGACTTTTGGATTCCACTCCTTATCATTTTCTAGGAGAGGTATTTTGAGAAGGTGACAGAGTGCAGGTCTCCTGGCAGGGATCTGTTCTCTGCAGTAATCTCGGTGAAACAGCAGAGGAGCACAGAGAGAGCGCACAGAGCCAGATGGAAATGGATAGCAATGTGTTTTCCTATGAAAGCTGTGCATCACATTCTTCACCTGTCTCACTCCTCAGGATAAGTGGGCCCCACTCCAAACAGCAGGCTCATCTAAAAGGGCTGAAAGGTCCTTAGATCCTCTCACTAAAATCCTCTATTGCACCAGCAGTGTATACAAAGGTACAGAGGGCAAAAAAAACACAAAAAAACAGGACATTCAGCAGTTACTTACCAAAGTTTGCAAATGAGGATTGCCTCTTTGGCTAAGGAAGTAGTGAAGCTTCTTGAATCTTGAAGATTCAGATTAGATTAGATCATATGGGCATGCTCAGCTGTATCTTTCCCATCTGTTTTTTTCGCTCTCATGCTAATAAAAACATCAAAAGTAAATATTATCACAGTGAAAGTGAATTCGACGAATAATGCAATAAAATGACTTATGGAAAGTGCATCATTCCTGTCAAATCGTGCACGTAAAACTAGTGTCCACTGTATAGGGTGAGCACTCAAATGTTTCTGCTGGAGCAGGCGTGATGAATAATAGTGTCTAATTTGAATAGTGGTTTCTGCTGCTTCTTCCGTATTTCACAGTCCACTTGTAACTTCCGTGTTTCGAAGGCTATATCTTACTGGGTCAAGCGGTTTATCACAATGAGGTCCATCCCGGAAGACTTGACGACACTCATTTCAGGTACTATCGCAATATTTATATATGTATGATAATACAACAGTTGATAAAGCGAACGTTTAGGTTTCGAGCGCAGTCGGAATAGAATATATATTTTTTGTCTTCAGTTATAAACTCTACATTTATTTCTGTTCGTACTTGGTTGAAAAGAGGAAGTTTAGTCTACCGACAGACGTTGAGAATATTTCCCTGTAACTTGGTTAGAGCATAGAGTGGCCTTTGTTTACTTTTTTCTAAAGACGAGGCAGGGTGCGAATACATGTTTTGTGTTTTAACGTGTTGTTTTAATTACTAAGTCAACAATAGGTATGAAAGTAGAGAGTTTATGATGCTTCAACTGCAGATGAAATTTCTATTTTAGTTTTCTTGTGCAGTTTTTTTTAAAAAGTTTGAGTCCTAACATACCTGTGGGAGACTCTAGCTTAATATGCTAGCGATGTTTGAACACGGTAGATAGTTGCCAGCTAACGTTACGCTAATTAGATGGAGTAAGGTTGTTATTAGCTGGCTGGCCAGTTACAATGTTACAAAAACAAAACAGGTTGATAGTAGTTGTTTCTGGCCAAAGACCAGCTTAAGATGTATTTTCCAGCAGGGATGTAGCCTTGCCAGTAAACTAATCAAAGTGCCATTAGTTTGGAATAGTCGAAAGTTATGTTCCTCAAACATGAAGTGCACCTGTTTGCATAAACCTAGGCTACTTGAGTTGAGGAATTCAAGAAGAGCGAAAAATGGCAACAAAAAAAAAGAAGCTACGCTTATAAAACAGTGTCTGTTTTCAGATCTGGAAACTTTTTTAACCGATGTCCTTAAAGGGGAGAATTTGAGCAAGAAAGCAAAAGAGAAAAAGGATGCCTTTATCAAGCGCATTAAAGATGTGAAATCGAGGTACGACAGAATGTATTCATGTAATAGCTATTACCTGTTATGTTTGTGACTCTATGCTGATAAAGTATTCAACAAATCCAAATTATTTGTGTTCCAGCTACTCTCAAGATTTCAAGGACAAAGGTAAGTTTTGATGTGTTTGTGTTATGTGTCTGGGGGAGGGGCTAAAGTTCAAGCATGGTGGAGTAAACTAGTACTTCCCCACTATGTTGTAGGCTACTGTGTGCTTCACTCTATCCTGCTGCATCATAGTTAGCATTCATTCTGTACATGAAAACTTCAACTCTGCGTATGTAAACATTGTTGCATGACAAATATATATAGCTAATACACATACATGGTTTCTCTTCTGATTGGAACACATGAAAAAAGTGCTTTAAAAAATAACCTTCAAGTCACCATATAACTAGGGATGCACGATATATCATATCCGTGCATCCCTACATATAACTGTTCACAGATTAGTTTCGTGTTTTCTACTACAAATTTAAGGTTGAGATGTGGGTTGAGGGCTGAGTTTGGTATAGCACATTACAGCGGCACTATTACCACAATATCACAACGTGAACAGGAAGTTATTTGCTCAAATTCAACATGATGGCACAAACATATGCATCATTTTTGCTTTGCCATCATCTTTAGTATTAATTATATTGTGAGGGAATGTGATTCAAACTGTCTATAGTGTTACAGGAGGTCTGTTTATCTTCCATATTAAAGGAATAGTTCAGCCAAAAAATACAAATTTGCTGAAAATGTACTCGCCCTCAGGGCATCCAAACTGAGCCTGTTTATTCATCGGAACAGATTTGGAGAAGTTTAGACTTGCATCACTTGCTCACCAATGGATCCTCTGCAGTGAATGAGTGCCGTTAGAATGAGAGTCCAAACAGCTGATAAAAACATCACAATAATCCACAAGTAACTGACACCAGTCCATCAGTTAATGTCTTGTAAATCTGCATGTTTTTAAGAAACAAATCCATCTTTATTTTTTTTTACATAAACCCTTTGCTTTGGTTGTACTATCCATAATATTGCTTTCTCTAGTGAAAAAGCCACCTTGTCTGAATCAGGAGAGAAATATGAACACATCAATCACCTTTTATAAGTGAAAACAGTCCAAAACAGTTCTAAACAAATATGTTGGTGGATTTGGATGTGAGAGGACAACAGGGGATAGACTCACTGGAGAAAGCAGTATTAAGGATTATGGACTATAATGGAGTATTTTGACCAGAAGCAACAATTTATAGTTAAAATGCCTTAATGATTGATTTGTTTCTTACAAATCCTTAGCTTTTCACGTTAAAAGGCGTTAAATAAAAGACTGACATTGTGTGGATTACTCTCATTACTTGAACTCTCATTCTGATGTCACCCATTCACTGCAGTGGATCCATTGGTGAGCAAGTGATGTAATGCTAAGTTTTTTCCAAATCCATTAAGTTTAAGAAGCAAACTCATCTACATCTTGAATGGCCTGAGTATATTTTAAGCATATTTTCATTTTTAGGTGAACTGTTCCAGTGTTCCGTTAATATTCCAAATCTCTGCAAAGCGCGTGCCACTCAAAGGCACCATGTCCAAATTCCTGTGCTGTCAGATATCATATCTGCAAACAACATAGCCTACATAATATCTGAACTAGACAGTCTTATTGTGTCTTGCTGGTGGAGGTTTGAAAATGTGGCCTTTCTGAGAATGCTGATGAAGACTCCGTTGTGTAGGAGATGAAGAGCTTCCAGAGCCTGATGAAGCGGACACTAACGACGGAGGATCGCTGCAGTCAGAGCAGACTGACAGAGATGAGGAAAGCGCTTATGATGGTGAGTGGAAAATTGTGTGATTTATTTAAAAGTGTTACCAGAGAAGAGAAGCATGGAGCATCTGCAATTGTTTTAGGAGAACTTGTGAGACAGGAATGTCATGTGACATTGTTCTGTACCCTTGAATTCTCTCCCGGAAGTCAAAAGAAAAGTTTGTAATTGTGAGTATTATGAAAGAATCGCTGCAATCTATTCTGCACTCAGATTGCATGTACAGAATTCACATAAATTAAGAAACAAAAAGCATTTCTCTCTCCGCTTATGAATGAATCAGTTATCATCTTTTCTGCAGCCTTAGCTGTCATAACACAGTATCATTGTGGCAGTCCTTTGTCATGTCCTGTCTAGGATTTTTTTAGTAGTGGTAGAAGAACACAAAAGCTGAATGAGGTGCTTGAAAGACTGATGTAACCCGGCAACAGGCTCAGGAACGGTTTGAAGGCACATACGTCAAGGGTTTAGCTCTCTTTTGTCTCTGAGCAAATGGTTTATGGTCTGCAGCCCAGACAATGCCGCCCACAGCCAATGTCAATTCAGGCTTCTGTTTTATTAGCGTCTGCTAAATGAATGCTATTGGTAGAATTTACATTTAAGGAAATCCAGTTCATCTGACTCATTTCGAATCATGCATCATATCTGATTATTGCATTCAGAAACGTACATTATCGGTAGGGTAGGATGCAGGCCGAGAGTGGTTGTGTGTATGTATATGGTAGGAAGAGGTTTACTGCTGTAGTGCAGTCATGTGTTTTATAGGTCATTTTGCCCTGTACTTGCCAGAGAGAACAGCTGTTTAGCTCCAAGATGGGATTGAAGCCTGTCAGTGCACACTGCAGAGCCTAGGCGAATCAAAACGGCATTTGGAGATTGACCAAAAAGTTATTTGAGACTATTTATTTTGGACAGATGTACTAAAGCAAGTGAAGTTGTGAGCTTGTGCAACCATAATGCCACTATTTGGTCAAAGGCAGGGAGTTTGTCATTTTTTTTTCATAAAAAAAGAAAGTCAAAACGGAGAGACACATCTCAGGCTGTATTTGTTGAGAGTCAGAGGCAGGTGAAACGTGTTGCCATTGTTTATTTATGGCCTTTTGCAATTGCAACCACATTCGCTACTTATGAAGTTAGCATTGTAACATGGATAAAGATCATTTAAAGGGAGTTCATAGTACACATTTTCAGTCATGACTTATAGTTATGGGTTTGTGTAACAACATTACCATTCAAATGCTTGGGATCACTATGATTTATTTGAAGAAACTGACTCTTTTATTGAGCAAGGACAAATTGATCAGAAATGACAGTAAAGACATTTATGATTTATATGATTAAGATTTCTATTTCAAATAAATGCTGTTCTTCAAACTTGATCTCAATCTCAATTTCCACACTTCTTTAAGAAACACAAACATTTTCAACTACTGTTAAGAACGGCTTTTTGATTGTTACCAAATCAGCATATTACAATTATTTCTTAAGGGCTATGAAGAAGACTTGGCTGCTGAAAATTGAGCCTTCTTGTCATCAAGAAAAAATGGCTTTTTAATTATATTAAAATAGAAAAACAGCCGTTGTAAATTGTAATACTGTTTATAAATATTGCTGTTTTTGACAGTTTACTTTTTCACTTTTTGATCAGATAAATGCAGCCAATCTTCCTTTTTTTTTTTTTTTTTTTAAATCTGTGAACAGAAGTATATATATATTTTTAAAATTGTATTATTTATTTAAAATTTTCACTAAGGAAGATGCAAAAATCAAAGTGATGCTCTGTGCCAACGAGTTCGTATTTTCCAAAATGTCAAAATGTCTTTTTTAATTGTTTTGCCAGTGTTTGCTCTAAAAGACAGCATGATTTATGATTTCTCTGCTAGTGCTTCTACCAGACATTTTCTACCAGATTTAAGAGAAATCCGCTCCAACTGAGTGTGTTCAGTTTGCTTTTCACAGTCAGCGTGTGTCATGCTCCCTTGACAGCACTTTATACATAATTGCAAACATTCCACAATTGCCTCTGTCATTCATAACACTGCTCTGCTCACTCACACTCATTCAGCAATGCAATGGTACTGTGTACACAAGAGAAGGGAGGGCAGTGTAAACTAGAGGGGAAGTTTGCTTTGAAAACAGACCATGCATCTGTTTCACATACTGCTGTACCTGACAGATCGGTGCATGAAACTCTATCCAGGTTTGAATCTCTGCTAACTTTAGTCTCGCTTGATGTCGACCTTTGATTTTTAAACCTAAAGGCATGGAATTAGCTTTCTGGCTGTTATTAGCAAATGCATTTAATTTGTTGTGAAGGCAGGTGCTCCTCTTTGTGGATTCTTCACCAGCACAGTTAGCACTGCTCATCATAAATAAGCTGAACTAAAATATAATAATTTTCTGTTTGTTGAAATCAGGAGTTCAACAGTCCCCTCCGGTGGCAGCTCAGGATCTTCAGTCCATTTTAAAGAGTGGCTATCTGGAGAAGCGCAGAAAGGGTAGGTTTCTGCATTCACAAACAGGCTGCTCATGAATAAAATAAAATAAAATAAATAGAATAAAAAAAAAACTCCTTTCCACTTCTTATAGATCACAGCTTCTTTGGCAATGAATGGCAGAAGAGATGGTGTGCTTTAAGCAACAACATATTCTACTACTATGGCAGTGAGAAAGGTGGGAAATCTACCGTTTTTGTTGTCACCAATAAATGTAGTCCTGAATTCAATTTCTTTTTTCTGAAATTGGATCATTTCGTAATCTTGACTAGATAAACAGCAGAAGGGAGAGTTTAATATTGTCGGATACACAGTCAAAATGAACAACACCCTGCGGAAAGATGCAAAGCGAGATTGCTGCTTTGAGATCTCTGCTCCAGACAAGCGTGTATATCAGGTTGGTCACCTCTCATAACATGTCTGAAACATGCAGTGCTTATTCATATCCTCAGATCATTATCACTCACAATACCTTTTTTTTTGCTGCAGTTCTGTGCTGTGTCTGAGAAAGATTCAAAAGAGTGGGTGGAGCACATTGACTTTCTGATCAAAGGTAGGACTGTACATCAGGAAAAGCGTGTCTTTTATGAACAAATGCATCATGTTTTGCATGTGTTTTCACTATCAGACATGGGTGGAGTCATTCCTGAAGATGAAGAAGAGTATGATGACTGCTTACCTATGAACCACCCAACCAACCATCCTGCACCTATTGATGATGACATTTATGAAGAACTCCCAGGTTTGCACCTCAATTTCATATTTTTTGGTTTATTTGCCTAATAATTATATTATATTTATTTATTTATTTTATTAATCCATCCATTATCCTATGTAGGGTTGTGGGGATGCTGAAGTATTTAAATTTAATTTAATTGTAAAGCTGCAGTCCGTATGTTTTGGCGCTCTAGCGGTTAATAAACACAACTGCATGCGTCTTGAGGAATAACATTGTAGCCGGAGCTACTTCTCTCTGTTTATGTCTATGACGAATCACGCAGGTACTGGGCTACTCCGCAGCGGTACCTACCCGAACCAGTCTAAAATAGTCCAAATATAAACATTTATTATAGGTGTACCGTATTCAGGACAAGCCAAAAACACGATTTGGAAAATGGATTCATGGTGTACTTGCTTATGATATAAATTTAGTAAATTCTGAACTCAAAAAAATGACGGACTGCAGCTTGAAATATTTTACTGTTATCTATTCACTTCTGATGTTGATAAACAGTTATAGTCATGTAAAATCCCCTTAGGGTGGTTCCTCTATGTATGTGGTGGAAAATGGCTACAGAATTTTTTTATTTGGTGTATTGCTCTCCGCTCTGACTGGCACATCTATTCTCTCCCTCTCAGAGGAAGATACACCCCAACCTGTTAAACCAACAGTGACCCTGGCCAACAAACCCCCACCACCATCTACCCCTGTGACAGGTAATTACCACTAGGTCACCAGGCCTGTCCATCCCCTACCTGCCCTGGTGTCCCATAACACCACACAGACTCCCAGATCTGCCTGGGTGGCTATCATTTGTCTGTCCAACTTTTTTTTTTTATCTTAAAAGGGCAAAGATAGGAAGGATGAGGTCTTGAAATGACAACAAAAGATAGAATGTGGAAGAGAAGAAATGGATATTGCAGGTACATATGGATTTGGGAGGTTAGCTGGTGAAGTCACACTGATGACAGGAGTAGGAAGTTAGTCTGGACCACAGGAAGGGCCTGGAAGGGAATTTTTTTTCTGTATTTTTGCACCGTTTATTATTTGTAATGATACTTAATTTAACAGATTTGTGTTTATTAGTTAGACAAATGCTCAACAATACTCTTGCCATAATCTCAGTTATTATTTTAAAAAGCTATATTGGTTTTTCTGTGCCTGTGTGGGGAAGCATGTATCCTGCCGGGTGCTGGGCACTGGGCAGGGGTTGGTAGGCTCTGGCAGGAAGCTGACTCCATTGGTGCACTGTGGCCCACCATGGCCCTCTGCTCTAGGCTCACAGCACAGGAAGTCCTGCTGACAGAAGTGATGGCTGAGGCAGGATCTCGTGACAGATGCTCAGAGGAGGAGGCCAGCTAGAGCATAATGGAGGGGAATAATACAAGCTTCACAGATTCTGGAAAGCAAGATCGTCATATGAATTTTCCTTATTAGTGTTTGTTGTCATCATTCAGGGCTGTTTTGAATAACGTTTTAAAATCCTGTAAGTGAATGCAATAATGCTGATTCCAGACCGGTGCAGCAGGTGTAATACTGCCTGGTTGTTTTAGGAGGCAGCCCTAAATAAAACCTTAGAGCAGCAGTGGGTAAGGTTATATTTAGAAAATAATTAGAATAATCTGCCAAATCAGCATAGCTGGGAATCTGCCAGCAATAATGTCTGCTAAAAGATATTTACCTTTAGGGGTATTTTTTTTTCTTTATATGAAAGCAGTTTTACTAAACACCCACTCATGGTGCTGCCTTTGGGTAGACGATGTAGATTAGTAAATATATTGTTGATATGAATAAATAATGCTCTAAACCAAGAGCCAAGAGCATGGTTAAATGTAAACCCAAGTGCATTGTTTTTGTTGATGTTTTGAGATAGAAAATAAATGTTCTTTTGAAAGGGACTGAAACTTTGCTGAAGATTATAAAAAAATCAAAAGCTTTATAAATAAAAAAGGCTTAAAAACAAATGTGGCTTGTAATACAAGTTGCAAGTTAACTTACAACAGTGAGGAGTCTTTCATTAGAGAGTTCTTCAGTATGCATTTCAACTGGCAAGAGCCTCAGTTCAGCAATTTATACTCTCTGCTGCCCACTAGTGGATCTTTCTGAGCCAGAAAAACACTGGGGTCTTCAACCAAGAACCTAGGGGCACGCCACTATGGTCCCTAGCCAGGCCCTTGGAATCATCCTAAACTAAACTAGCTTGAAATTGTATTTGTGATTATCACATATGTCTTTTTGCAAAAAAATTTTGAGATCAAACAATAATCGGTGGAAATTAACACTTTTTTCAGCAAAAATGCATTCAGTTGATCCAAAGTGACAGTAAAGACATTATAATGTTACAAAAGATTTCTATTTCAAATAAATGTTGTTCTTTTGAAATTTCTTTACAGCAAAGAATCAATCACAGTTTCCACAAAATTATTAAGCAGCACAACTGTTCAACATTAATAATAAAAACAAATGTTTCTTGAGCGCCAAGCGTATTAGAATGAATTCTGAAGGATCATGTGACACTGAAGACTGGAGTAATGATGCTGAAAATTCAGCCTTGCCATCGCAGGAATAAAGTACATTTTAAAAGATATTACGTTAGAGAAAAGTTATTTTGAAACTGTTAATATTTCACATTCTTATCATTAAATTGTGGTGATATTTCACATTATTATCTGTATTTTTGATCAAATAAATGCAGCCTTGGTGAGCATAAGAGACTTTATTCAAAAATATATAAAAAAATAAAATAAAAATCTCACCGACCCCAAACTTTTGAATGGTAGTGTACATACATTGAGAGTGAGATGTTCAGAGACCAAACCAACAACCTAACGATCCCCATTTTTACAGCACTTCATAAACATTTTGTGATGCATATGTTAAGAGTGTATTGAGTTCAGAACGATGCCTTTAAAAACACAAAATTCTATCATAAATGCTCTTTAATAATTAAATTCTGTTTTTAAATGATCTTCTATTCTTTCCCCTGCAGCAGTGACCAAGAGCACAGACTACACCAACTACTTCCAGGGCTTGTGGGATTGTGCTGGAGAGCATCCCGATGAGCTGTCCTTCAAGCGAGGAGACACCATCTACATCCTCAGCAAGGTAAGACGGGAGCCATGGCCTGGAAACTTCCAGACTTGCCGCAGTTGTCACAACCCACGTGATGGAGGACAAAAATAATACAGCATGAGGTAATGTTTATTACCCTGCCCTCTCAGACGTCAGCAGGAAAAGATGAATTTGCAAAAACATTCAGTTAAATAAATACACTGTGACGTCTGGATAACACATTTGAGTCAGATGCAGAAAGGTTAGTTTTGGGCCTGTTTTTTGCACGAGTGTGGAAGTGAAGTACACCCTCTCCCTGCGCACAGTGATGGGATTAGTCTTGTCACAACGGAAACCATTTTAGTGCTCTTGGCCCTGAGCAGAGCAGTCTGGCAGCCAGTGGCGTTCTGTCACCTCTCTCCACGTCTGCCCAGTGCATGTGCGCGTCTCCGAGCTCATTTGTGTGTGGGTATTTCAGCATTGGAAGACGGCTCAATGCCATGTTCAGTGAGGGCAACCGTACGCAGACCTTTAGCATATACACATCTCAGCCAGTCACTATTTATGACTGTAATGGTAGTCTGTGTTCTCAGGAAACACTGAATCCACATCTCTATTCGTACCAGGTGCTGCGGAGAAGTGCGTTTGCTTAAAAACTTCCCATACCTGTCAGCTCCGATGCGTAGGCCGGCTGTGCAGATCTGGGAACTGCCCGTGGGGTTTGTACCTGGCTAACAGAATTAGCTCGATACCTCTCAGGGCTACTTAAAACAGGTCAGGCTGCTCCGTTCCCAGAAACAAACTCGGTATCTTGCGGTTTGTCTACTTAGCGCCGTTGCCCTTCAGAGAAAGAACTGGAAAGCTTAATCGTGTTTGTGCTTTCTCTTTTAGAAGAGAGGTTTTGAGGTATCGACATTATGCTGGTGTTTATGAATAATGGTATGGAAATTTGTGGGTCAAGGACGTACTATATAAGTGTCCATGATCTAGTTTAAAGCTAGTGACAAATTCTTATGTTATTTGTATTCATGTTGGCTTCATATAGTTAAAAAAAAAAAAAACTTTAATACCATTTTCAGGAAAAGTTTCAATGTGTAATGTGGCATAAACAAGTTTGTTTCTTTTACCTTTATTTAACCAGGAGGCAGCTTAATAAATATATTTTTTACAGTCACAGACTGGCAGGAGACAAATGAATCAATATATAGAAAACGGAGATAAAAATTCTAATGTAAATTAATTTATAAACCACTATCTAAAACTAATCTAAAATTATTGTTATTAGTTCAAGTAAAAATAATAACATATTTTCTGTCACATGGTCCGTCTGGGGTCCAGAAGCATTGTAAACCTCAATGACCCACATAATTTCAGTGGCATAATATGCTAATTTTAATCATGCAGGATTTAAATTATTCAACTTGCATCAAGATATTTCAAAGGTCACTTTAGTCTGCTAAATGCTAAATTAGGAAGTCTATGTGACCTTACATGTCGGCTTCCTTAGATAGGCACTGAATAATCGTGTGTGGGCATGTAGGAGGAGTGTGAGGTCTGCATTGCTTTCCTGTTGCAGACTTATTTGTCACCCTCACCTTCTAATCTGACCCTCTTGCACGCGCACAAATTCGCACACACACGGCACCAGGCGCTGCTCTGTCAATGAGGTGTGTCTGTATCAAAGGACAGCAACAGGAAGTTTCCACTTCACCCCTTCACATGTGCACTTCCTGTCTTGTTTCACACAGCCTGGACAACTGCCCTATATTTGGCGACCTGAGGTGTGTAAATTTTGGACATTAACATGTTTTGCTTTCATATGTATTTTAAAGACAGCAGAATCATTTGTTTATGAAATTACAATATTGTTCAAAATGTTTTAGTAAGATTTTAAAAATGAATACTTTTAAGATGTCACTTTCATATTACTTGCATAATTTGGCTGTTATATACTGTGGAGGTCTTCAAATATTTTAATGCCACGTACCCTCAAATATGATGAATATAATTTTTGCAAAGGACTCCATTCTTAAAATATAAAGAATGCTATGTATATTGAGACTAACTCATGCTATGTGAAAAAATAGTATGATATTATTTAAATATCATTATATTTAACTAATATGTATATACATGTAAAATATTGTATAAAACAACATTAAAAACATTTTTAATTTTAAAATGTTTAAGATTATTATTTAAAATGTATTAATTATTAAGCATCATAAGGACAAATTTTAATTAATTACAAATAATTATTAATCATTAAAATGTATTTGTTTGGTTCTCAGTAAAAAAAAAAAATATATATATATATATATACACATTTTTTTATTTAGATTATAGTTATTTCAATATATGTTATAATATATGTAATATGCATACATATAACATACATTATATTTATATATATAAAATGTATAAACTGTAATATACATTGTATATAAAATGTATATTATGTTATAACATATATATTAAATGTATATGTTAAAATAATAACTATAATCTAAATGAAAATGCTAAGAGCACAAAATCCAGGTATGAAATTAAATGTAATTAATGAAATTGTTTTTCCTGAAGAACATATAGGTCTTGAAATTTCTGGAATCAATTAATTTAATATATCAATGCTCCCAGTTTCTGTTAAGTCTGAAAACAAGCAGCTTAAAAAACACCTGATCTACAGTCCTGACTTTATTAGAACATATACATGCAATATATTCTAAATTATATTCCAAATCTAAGCTTTACAGATAACGAAAGATTTATTTATATCTGTGGTCTTTCAGCAAAATTTTTCTTTTTTGTCTTATGAGGAGGACAGTGCACACTGAGGACAGTTGGCGGTGGAGAGACGCTCTCCATTACAGCATGTGTGTCTGCGGCAGCTGTCAGCAGCTGCATAACCAGACCTGTGTTTTATAGACAGATACGTGCACGCAGGCAGTAAGAGGTTTGCTGGCCGGAGCTGAGCACTATACATTATACAGCAGGAATCACTTAGGCTGCCGGGGTCAAGTAGGGGCCCACAAACTTCATATTTAACTTCAGATGGGGTATGATTCAAACCTCATTGCTCTTTCTGAACCATACAGAGAGAGATGTTTTTCTCCGACGGTGAGGTGACGAGCAGTGAGTGTCTTGTCAGCTTTAGAGAGATCCAAGACTTGAATGTCAGAGAGAAAAAAGTACACTGTCAGAGTACACTGGATTGAGATGTTTCGAGGTTTCAATGTAGCTGACCGTTCTTTTCAAGTACAACAAATGAGTGTTTATGTGGGAACTTTCAAAAACATGCAGAACTGAGGTTGCAGATTGGCAACCTGGGCCCCCCTGATGAGTGAGGGCCCCATTAAGGTCCTCTATACTGCCCTACAAAGGCAAAGCACAGGAACTACACCAAAGCTGAAACTGTAATTGAGTTAGTGTTTTTACTTTGTTTACATTGAGCCAAACCTGTCTGTCACATAGACAGATCATAGAGACCCCATTTCAGTCATAACTCAATTTTGACGAAAAGTGTCACTGTGTTCTGCCTTTGCAAAGTAGTATAGGATTTTCGATATGACGTTTTGATGCCAAGGACTCCCAGATATGATGAATGCCTAGACCCCTTCCTAAATTATAAGGCAGCTATATTTCAAGCGTATAAATAGGTTTAAATGAAGTGTGATTTAAAAAACTACAAATTAATTGTTTCTGAGATTACAGTAGCATAAATATGTATTTATAATGTTACAAAATATTTCTATTTTTAATAAATGCTGTTGTTTTGAATTTTATATTCATCAAAGAATCCTAAAAAAAGTATCTGTTTCCACAAAAATATTAAGCAGTACAACTTTTTTTGACCATTGATAATAAAAAAATGTTTTATTGAGCACCAAATTAGCTTATTAGAATGATTGTTCATTTTAATTGTAATAATATTTCACAATATTACTGTTTTAACATATAAAATGCAGCCTGCATTGGATTTTTTCTAAAACTTGAATAGTAGTGTGTATAATTCTTTTATATTATATTATATATATATTTTAAATTTTTTTTAATCAGTTAAATTGGTTATATCTTTTAAAATGGTTACTTTTTATTAAGTTGATAGTGTATCTGAAATTAACATACTAATACAAATTTTTACATTTAATATATTTGAATTCCATATTTATTTATTAATTGATTTACTTCCTTATAATTATTATTTAGCATTTCAGCTATTCAGATTTTTTTCTCAAACTGTGAAAATCTAGCGCTGTCAGTAGAATAAAGATAATTGCATGAATCTCTTGATTTCTGACCATGTTTAGAAAGCAGGATAAAATAGAAATATTACCAAATTTGGATATTATGCACACATTAACGCTGACAGCCCTAAAATACATTTTGTAAAATGTTGTACATTTTCTGGTGGACCCTCCAGCAGCCACTTGCAGTTCATTGGGAGTCCCCAGACCCCAGTGCGTCCCTAGTTCAGTTCAGTCCAGTCTCCTCTCCCTGCTTCCCTCCATTCTCCTTTTTGAAAGAAAGCAAGATGTGGCGTGATAGATCTGCCTCAGTATAACCCCAAAGTTTAGAAGGCATCTGTGAGAAACCGAGAAGTATCGTGGATGTGGAGAAAACACAGGGTTTAGTGGCTTTGAAGTGAATGGCACCGTGTAATCTGTTTGTAATTATGGAATAAAGAAAGAGAGACGGATGGACGGATCTTATCTGCTTCTTATCTTTATGGTTATCTTTTCCATGAGCTGGAGAAGAGCTGATCCGTCTCTGTACGGGGAGAAAAGGACTCTGTCCTCGGGCTCGCAGATCTGTTGTGCTTCATACGAAATATATCGCCCGTTCACATTCTCTTGTGTAATCTTTATAGGTCCTATGGGCCTTGTGTCCTTGAATTGGCCTTGGAAAGACAGACAGGAGGTTGGGAGGGAGACAGAATGGGGGGTAGGGATGTGCAGATAGAGACAGTATGAGATGAAAATGAAGTCTGAAGATGATCGGGTAAATGAACTATATATATTGACAGATTTCATTCCCCTGAGCGTTGACCTATGAGATTTGACCTCGCCGATTGTGTCACTGCACTGACTTGTCTCAACAGTGAGTGAGTTTAATGAACGTAGGTTATCATTTTTGTTATTTTTATTTTTTAACAGGAGTATGACATGTTTGGCTGGTGGGTGGGGGAGATTAAAGGGGCCATCGGAATTGTGCCTAAGGAGTATCTTCTCGATTTGTACGTGCTGTAAGGGGTCTGAGGTGAGTAAATGATCCTAGAATGACCGCTGACAAACCTAAGCTGTTCATGGATGGATGGATGGACAGATTAGATAGATTACATTTTACAAAAACAGTCATTCTACATCAAAATTCCATGCTTAATTCACTGTGTTATGTATGTTTCTTTTTTAATAATTGTAAAATTTACTAGAGCAGTTACTAAGTGAAAATTATGTCCAATTAAATCCTGCTCCATTTTTGTTTTAATTGTATATTTTCGTTCATTTCTAGGAAAACTCTGATGGCCTGCTGTTGTAGCTTCATGTTCCACAAGTCGCGTACTCTTTCTGTGTGTTTCTATTATTCTGTGTGATATGTAAAGCAAACTGCCCGTTCAAAAGCACAAGTGATTGTGAAATACATGAAGGATGTGAAGCTTATCTTTTGCTGATTATTTCATTATCACGTGTGGACTGAGTGAATGTAAACCCCTTTTTTTGTCTTTCAAAGGCATTCAGTTGTAGGTAAAAACTATGAAATAAAGCTTGAGCATTCACAAAACGTTCTGGATTCTTTTTAGCAGTTTGTATTCTAGCCACCAGGTGGCAGCAGCGTATAACGTTCTATTGTAATGAGATTTTTGAGACAGATAATTTCAGAGCAGATGTGGAATGTCTTTGAGACTTCGTTTGATTCCTCCACAGGGACAGACAACCCAAGACAGGGTTCTACACAGACCGTAAGTGCTGTTTGTACGTACAATCACGATGTCGCAGTATGTAATGAACTAATGGGAAACCAAATCTCTGACCTTTTTATGCAGAACATAACAAACAAATCAAATAGCAGTTATTCAGATGTGGAATTAATAATCTGCTGTAGGAGAACTATTTGGCATATCGGATTGTATCTTCATGGACCGCTGCGTTGACATCCACAAATATCTAGGCACTGAAGTGAGAAACTTAATTAAAACACATGTCAGGGCGTTACCTTCTCTGCCAGAAGAATGTATCCAAACGAAGTGTTACTATTTGCATATTAACTTGCTCAGTCAAGCTTCACACAATAAATACTAAAGACATTTTAATTTGATCATTACATAACACTCTTTTATATACCAGTTGATAAACAATTAGACTTGGGCCTGATTTTAAAGTTGAGCAGCATGGAACAATTTCAGTCAAATGTTGGCACCATGTTTAATATATAAAATGTAAGTTTAAAAAAAAAAAAACGTCTTTGGCCAGATCTGAGAATACTAGAATCTCAATCCAAAAACCAAAAAATATAATATTGTCACAATTTATTTTAAGGTCCAGTTCTCAATATTAGCTAACAATTAACTACAACTTTTGTCTCAGTAAACTCCTAATTACTGCTTATTAATAGTTAATAAGGTAGGCTATTTGTTAAGTTTAGGTATTGGGTAGGAATCAGGATGTAGAATATGGTGATGCAGTATATCTGCTTTATAAGTTCTAATAAACAGCCAATATGCTAGTAATGTGCATGCATAAATAACTAGTTAATAGTGAGAATTGGTCCCTATACTAAGTGTTATCGAGAATATCAGAGTTATATTTTATATTATTTTCTTCATCAGAGACTCTCTCTTTTTATTGCCATTATTGTACATGCAAAAAATATGTATTTATTAACTGTACATTTAAATGACATCACTCTAAACATTTTTAAAATTAGGATAAGCATAAAATAAAAATAAATTCAGTACATTATGATTGCTTTTAGTGCTGTCAAATGATTAATCGCATCCAAAATAAAAGTTTTTGTTTACATAATGTGTGTATACTGTGTATGTTTATTGTGTATATATAAATATAAACACATGCATGCATATATTTAAGAAAAATGTTATGTTTATATATTAAATGTATTTATATATAGCATAAAATATATAAATATAAATATGTAAATGTATATACATGTAAATATTTTCTAAATGTATACTGTATGTGTGTGTATTATATATACATAATATATGTGTGTACTGTGTATATTTATTATGTAAACAAAAACTTATTTTGGATGCAATTAATCACGATAAATCGTTTGACAGCAATAATTGCTTTATAAATGTTCTTGACAGTTTTCATACAAAATTATAAATTGAAAATTATATTTTATTTTGTGTTACAGTAAGCTACTGACTGAATTGTCTTAATAGGATTATTTGTAATAAATATGCCAGAATGAAAAAAATACGGTACTGAAATGATGTTTTCATAATTTGTATATTATATTATTTTTTTAAATCTTAGCATTAAAAACAATTCTGTATTATAGCAGAATAAATTCAGCTAAATAAATAAATATTCCAGAATGAAAAAAGGTATTTTTTATGTTCTGTTCTGTTCTGTTGTTAGCATTAAAAACAGTGTTGTATTATTCTGTATTATAGCAGAATAAATTCATACGCTGTTTCTGATATACTGTTTCTTTACTCTTTAGCTCTTGTTTCCTGATAATTTACAGGAATGGTGAAATCTGGAACACCGTGACTTTCCTGATTGAACTCGTCCAGTCTGTTAAAGAATCAGCACTAATGAAGGAGCTCAGGGTGGAGAGGATGTTTCCACTGAGCCTTGTGTGTGCTAAATTCACATCACATGTCAGTAGCTCACTCCTCTCTGTCAGGGAAGGAGAGAGGAGAGGACAGGATGTTAGTTGTGAGAGGGGTGGAGGTAAGACACCTGTCGAGGGAGGTGGGGATTCATTAGTATTCATTATACATTTCCCACCAGTTAGTTTCTGAGCAGAGCGGAGAGAGGAGGGGCTGCAGCATTCATCTCCTCCACAGAGATACACACAGACGGCTGAAACAGAGAGGTGTGTGATGCCATAGAAGAGGCCAAACGAAGCGTCCAACTGCATGAGAATCAGCACAAGATTTTGGTGCAGACGTTGAATTTCCTCCTCTGTGAGTTGTTTAATGACCACTTCCTTACTTTAAAGGGGTCATATGAAGTTGCTAAAAAGAAATTTTTTTGGTGTAATGAAATGTTTGTGGTTTAAGGTTAAAAAAACACATTATTTTCCACATACTGTACATTATTGTTTCTCCTCTATGCCCCGCCTTTCTGAAACGCGTCGATTTTTACAAAGCTCATCGGTCTGAAAAGCAAGGTGTGCTGTGATTGGCCAGCTATCCAGTGTGTTATGATTGGCTGAATACCTCAAGCGTTTGACGGAAATGTTACGCCCCTTACCATACTGTGATCATGCCCTGTCCGGCCGGAGCGATGATTCAAAAACATGAAAACCCATTATAAACGAGGCATTTGTTGCATCCAGTGGGGACATAATTATGGATTATAATGACTTATACTGTCTTTTTACGTGTTGTGTTGCATCGCGCCGCGTAAACATAAAACCATGTCTGCATTTGTGATCGGAGAAATGACAAACAACAAGTGCTACTCTACTGCCCAAAACTCGGGTTTGAATCATCAGTGGCAACGAAAAACACAGCGGCCTA